GAGGCAGGGGCTCTACCACCGAGTCACACCCCAGCCCCTCACTGGGGATTCTAGGCAAGTACTCTACCACTGAGTCACACTCCAGATGGTGGTTATAACTAGATTGGCATGACTTTTTTGAAGCAGTTTGCTTTCCCCACCGTAGGGCTTTTGGGTTAACTTTAATTGTACAAACTCAAGTGATTAACACCAAATTTTCAGTCTCAATGCATTTGTTTATTCCAATGAGGAGATAAGCCCAGTTTTTTTAGATAGGAACTGTTAAGGTCAAGACAATGAGCTGGGACTTTGTTACCAGAGACTGAGGTACTTTTTTTGAGTTCTTAGTCTCATTAATCAAGAGCTAAAAAACTGACTTGGGGGCTGGAGAGATGGCTCAGTGGTTAAAAAGCATTGCCTGCTCTTCCAAAGGTCCTGAGTTCAATTCCCAGCAACCACATGGTGGCTCACAACCATCTGTAATGAGGTCTGGTGCCCTCTTCTGGCCTTCAGGCGTACACACAGACAGAATATTATATACATAATAAATTAATAAATATTTGAAAATAAAACTGACTTGGAAGGAAGTGTGAGGAAAATTTTATCAGTGTTTGAAAGGGAATAAAAAAAAATTGTCGGGCCAGCTGTAAATATTGGCAGTGGCCAAGTGGAGGAGATGGAGTAAGAATCATGCTTTAAGTTAGGCATTGGAGGTCAGAGAAACAGGGAGAGCACTCAGAGTGTCCGGGACAGCAGTTTAGGATTGCTGGGCCACAGGTCTGAGTTCAGGCTTGACCTGTGGCTTGGCCAGGAGTGGTGTTGCAAGCCTTTAATCCCAGCACTTGGAAGGCAGAGGCAGGTAGATCTCTGAGTTCAAGGCCAGTCTAGTCTACAGAGCAAACTATAGGCCAGCCAGGGGCACACAGGGAGACTGTCTGAAAAGACTTTAAAAAAAAAAAAAAAGGAAGGAAGAGATAGTTTATTATTAAAAAGCACTCTTAAGGGTGGGGTGGGCCAGTGAGCTGATGGAAGAGCTGAGAAAGCATCCAGCGGTGTGGGTGGGGCATAGCCTCTGCCCTTCCATTCCCAGCTCTCTCTGCTGTTTGATGGAGCCCAGGTGAGGAAGGGGCTTCCAGGTTTCCTTCACAGACTGGCCTGTTCCAGTTAAGCCTCTAGTCTCCTGTCACAACTTGTGGCACTGAACTACAGCATTTGAACCCACACCAAGCCCTTGCCCTTGACATCCGGGAGAGTTAGAGCGGTGTGTTTGGGGGTGACGGACCTGTGCCTTAACCTTGGCACTGCAGTCTACAAACTCTATGTCTTCGAGCAGCGACTTCCTTGTTTGGAGTTTGCATTTTGGTCTCTGTCAAATGGATGCAATTAGAAGGCAGGCTACTAGGTAGTCTGCGGGCAGCGTTGGGTGTCAAGGCTGGTAGAGATGAGATGTTCCACAGAAGAGCGTGTGTACCTCACTGCCCTTTCCCTAGGGTGTGTGAGCATTGTTCTCAGGTCCGAACCTGGGCGCCGCCAGCCCTAACGAACTGGGCTTGGCCCCTTGTCCTTAAGAAATCATTTAAGATGTGAAAAGCAGAGACAGGAGATGTGGGCAGTGTGGCCACATTGGGAAAAGGAACAAATGAACAGGTCCAGTGAGCCCCAAGCCCCGCAGGGTCCTGGCATAAGGCTCAGGTTTAAATGGAGGGCGAGTGTTAACGCATAAACGATCAGTTCTCGTGCCCGCCTGCTGCTGTTGGTTTAACGAACGTCAGAGCTGTGTGAAGTCGGTTCCTGGGGTACCAGTTGTCCCTGCAGTTGGCACCAGGCTTCACCCTTTCCGTCCCCTTAGCGTGAGATTCCAAAGGAAATGCCAGTGTTTTGGGGGGTCCATTGTTTCAATAGTCTCACGGCCAGAGGGAGGGACACACCCGCGGCAGTATAGAAGGGCAGCTTGCGGGAGTGTGTTCTCTCCTTTCGCCGCGCCTGTCCCTGGGATTACAATGAGGTCATCAGGTTTGGTGGCCTTTACCTGCCACCTCACCGGCAGGGAGGTTTATTGAGGCGCAGGGGGTCATTCTACTTGCCTGATTCCCCGGGGGTGGGGATGACTTTCGCTTGACCTCAGCTTGTCGCTTCAATCTGATTAGAAAACCGAAGAACGCTCCCGAGGCTCCAGAATCCAGAGGCGGCTGCCTCAAAGAGGTCTTTATCCTAAACCCACTGCTAATCTCTTTGGAAATTCTGATTTAGCATCCCCCCCCCCCCCTTCTCGTGGGGAGGTGTAGCGGTTGTTCTGACAATAGACGTGCTAAGAGAGGCATCTGTAAGTCCTGTTTCTCCAGCTCTGGTTCCTTTCTTTCAGGCTCCTGGGAGGTCTCTCATTGCTAGCCCAATGGGATGGTATGGAGCAGAGAAAAGAGAAACCTTTGAAGTGGAAGTCTCTCGCACTAATGGCATAATTACTCCAGGAAACCATTTACAAAGTAATTATGGGCTATTGTTAGCTTGCTCTAGCTTTTTTCCCCCCCTTCTTAAGCAATGAGGCTTAGCTCAGTGACTGCGGGAGGAGGGGGAAACCCTATAATATGCCTGGCACTGAAAGAGGAGAGAAGCTCTCCTTGCAAACTAATTGGTCTCCTTCTCTGTCCCCCTATTACAATAGCAAAAATGAATTCAGACGTCTCCAAGCCCCATGGGCATCCGCAGCGTTCTCTGGCTCGGTATGTTTCTGGTATTAAAATGCATTTTCGAGAAACGCTGGTTGTAGCCTTTGCCCAGATCCATCTCTCCCTCCCCCACAACGAGGATAAGGGGGCTTTAAAGGCTGTGTTGTTGAAGTCATGAGAGCACAAGACTCTCCTTGTTGGAAGGTTCTGGAACAGCTTTGTCCAGCTTTCCCAGCCCAAGCCTGACTTCCTTCCTTCTATGTCCGCTCTCTGGAGATGCCCATGAGATACTGACTTTCCTCAGAGTCCTTGAGCCCCGAGGCTACCTAGCCCATTGCCTCCCTTCAGCGAGCTAATGGAGATACATATTGCAATATTAACTTTTAAAATTCCATATTATCACTCTGTTGGGATAAATGAGGTGTGTAGAAAAACCCGTAACACCGCATTAGCTTCTGTCTTTGGGTAGCACATCTGCTCCCTCCAGATGAAATCCTCAGAGCCATAAAGAAAGGGAAGGGCCAAGGCAGAGAGCACCCTTCCTCAGGAGTCTGAGTTTCTGGCTGACGTGGAACAGTTGACATTTGGCTGGAGGGGTTTCAAATCTATTTAAGGCCCCTTGTGAACTAAAGTTTACAGAATAATAATAAAAAGTCCGCACCTGTGTTAAAGATTCTACAGGGCTGTGTTTTTGCATCAACACTCCTGATTCAGCCTCCCCTCCCCCAATCTCACAGGAAACTGAGAATCCTTCACATGCCATGAACAGAGCCAGGGGCCATGATCATGAATAATTACACCCCCAGGTTTCCCAGGCTTCTAGGAAGGGTTGCCCTCGGTAAGCTTTGCCAGTGAATTCTCATAGACCAGAGGCCAGGGCGGGAGAGGTTTACCCAAGGTCCTTATCAACTTGACACAGCCTATATGACCTGACAGGAAAACCTCAGCTGAAGAATTGCATGGACCAGATTGGCCGGTGGACACATCTGTGGGGGAGAGGGCATTGTTATTAATGGATGTAGAAGGGCCCAGCCCACTGTGGGTGGCACCATTCCCAGGGTAGATGGTCCAGAGCTGTGTAAGTAAGCTAGCTAAGTTTGAGCCTGAGGGTGAGCAAGGCAGCCAGCACAGAGTTCCTCAGTGGTCCCTGATTTAGGTTCCTGCCTTGATTTTCCCTCAATGATGGCAAGCCAAAGAAGGTCTTTCTCTCCTCTGCTAATGTGCTTCCGGTCAGAATGTTTGCTCATAGCAACAGAAAGGCAAGGAGGACAGACTATGTCTGGGGTTTCCCACACAAGCATACAGGTCTAAAGTCTGATGCCCTATGGCACTGGTTCTCAGCCTGTGTGTCGTGACCCCACATAGGGGTCACATATCAGATATCCAGAATATCAGATATTTACATTAAGATTCATAGTTATGAAGTATCGATGGAGTTATTTTATAGTTGGGGGTTACCCCAACATGAGGAACTGTGTTAAAGGGTTCCCAGCATTAGGAAGGTTGGGAATCACTGATCTATGGTGTTCATCCCAGGGCTGAACCATCCCAGGGCGATGGTGAACCCAGGGCTCTGGGTATGCTAGATCGGGAAGCCTGCAAGATTTCAGCGAAGGTTCTGTTTCAGGCTAGACTCAGCTACTTGTTACAAGGGTAGGTTGTAGTCTGTGCACCCATCAAGTTAGGTTGCAGGTCACTAGTGTGTGGTGGACACCTTTAAGCCCAACTGAAGTATGCCGTGCCATAGTCAGGGCTCTCTAGAGAGACAGACCTGATGCAATGAATATCTGTATATTAAAAAGGGATTTCTTAGAGCGGCTTATAGGCTGTGGTCTGGGTGGTTCAACAGTGTTGGTTCCGCTACAGAACAGCTGAGAATTCAGCAGTCCCTGTCTGGTGCTAGAGGCCTCGAGTATTCCTGGAGAGAATGCTGGTCTGCAGTCTATGCCAGCATCCCAAGGAAGTTAGTTCTATTTTTTTTTTAATGCCATGCAGTCATTTTAGATAAACATTTTTTGTTCTTGTTTTTTCAAGACAGAGTTTCTCTGTAGCTTTGGAGCCTGCCCTGGAACTAACTCTTGTAGATCAGGCTGGCCTTGAATTCACAGAGATCCGCCTGCCTCTGCCTCCTGAGTGCTGGGATTAAAGGTGTGCGCCCACCACCGCCTGGCAAGGAAGTTAGTTCTAAATGCAGGTGAAGGAATGCCTCAGCCGCAGGATAGATGGACTTGCCAACAAGAGTGAGAGCAAGCAGGCAGAAAGCAGTTTCCTTCTTTACATTCATTCATTCATTCCTTCATTCATTCATTCATCTATCTGTCTATCCATCCATCCACCTATCTGTCTCTCCATCCATCAGTCCATCTATCTATCTATCTGTCTGTCTGCCTGCCTGCCTGCCTATCTATCTATCTATCTATCTATCTATCTATCTATCTATCTATCTATCATTTATTTTTTTGTTTTTTCCAGACAGGGTCTTACTATATATCCCTGACTGTCTTAGGACTCAGTAAGTAGACCAGGCTGACTTTGAACTCACGGAGATGTACCTGCTTCTTCCTCTGAGTCACGGGGACTAAAGGTGTGCACCACCACGCTTCGTGTGCATGTGGGTGTCAGATGGTAACTTGCGGTAATCCTTTCTCTCCTTCCACCACATGGGATCTAGGGGTTGGAGTCATGTCCTCAGGCTTGGCAGCAAGCGCCTTTACCCGCTGAGCCATCCCTCTGCCCTCCTTGGGAGTATTTCAGAAGGCTGACCTTGAGATTGTACTGAACGTCGACATGCCTGAATGGTCTACATAAGCTGGGATGGGGGCAATGGCTGGGAGCAGCTGCCTGCACATGAGCATCTCAGGGCTGAGCCTATAATCAGTGTCACACAGAGCCACCCTTCGCCTCTTGTCTGATCCCAGCATCCCTGGAGATGCTGAGTGCTATAGCCACTTCACCGTGACGGAAAGATTAAGCCACCTATTGTACCGAGGGGCGAATCATTCTCCGAGGCTTTTGTGTGAGCAAATAGAATATATCTATCTGCATCCCAGGGAACCTAGGACACCTTGAAATAACCTGATGTCTTGAAGCGCAGTCAGTTGAAATCTTTAAGCTTCTGAGTTGGATGGCTTTCCTCACGATCACACGCTGTCAGTTACGAGAGGAGGATGTGTGTGTGTGTGTGTGTGTGTGTGTGTGTGTGTACATAGATATGTGCTTGTTTGTGTGCCTATGGATACACGTGTTTCGGTGTCAGATAACAATTTTAGTTATTTCTCAGAAACTTGTCATCTTTTTTTCCCCCCCTCATCAATGATTTTATTTTATTTTTTAAATTAGTGCATACATGTGTGGGTTTGTGTATGTAAGTTCAGGTATCCACAGGGGCCAGAACTGGTTATCAGACCACTTGGAACTGGAGTTAATATAGACAGTTGTGAGTCACTCGATGTGAGCACCGAGGACCGACCTGGGTCCTTTCCAAGCCCAGCACACACTTCCAGTGGTTGAGATATCTCTTCAGCCTTCCATCTTTGTGTTTTGGGATAGGGTCTTTCACTGGTCTGGAGCTCTCCAAGTAGGTTAGCCTGGCCAGCCAACAAGCCCCAGGGATCCTCCTGTCTCTGCCTCCCAGTGCTGAGATTACAAGGATGCACATTCCATTTTTTTTTAAAAAAATTTAATTCTTGATCAATTCTTTGGGCATTTCACTTCATGCACCCCAATCTCACTCACCTTCCAGTCCCTCCATATTCTCTCCTCACACCTGCAGCATCCTCCCCAATGCCCCCCAGATCAACTGAAAAATTAAATAAAACAAATAAACTGACCTTGCTCCTGCGTCGTTTCAACACCTCTTCATCCTAGTGCTATGGGTTCTGAGAGTCAAACTCAGGTCTTCATGCTTGCACAACAAGTGCTTTCCCACCTAGCTCCCTCTCCCCAGCTCTGAGGATAGAATGTATACACACACACACACACACACACACACACACACACACACACACACATATGCAGATTAACTTCCAGCAAGAAGCTTGAGAATAAGAGTGCTGGCTCCTACCTGCACTCATATGCATGTAAACACACACACACACACACATGCATGCACACGCACGCATGCACACCCATGTGTACACTTTTCCCTTCTATTCTGAGTGATCAGATACACCCTGACTTTCAGTGGGTGTTTTGAGAAGTGTAAAGGAGTGGCCGTTCAAATCGAAAGCTGAACTAGACATGCTTTTCTTTCTTCTTTTTTTGTGGAGCACAGTTTTAATTGAAAGAGCAATCGGTGGGCAAGCTGCAGCACACATTTCCTTGGGAGCAAACAAAGTAAGGCTGTCACTTAAAACACAATAGCATGCAGGATGTGTTATCAGTGATGAAATGGAAGCGCCTCGCTGAACCGTGCAGTTTTGGGAAATGTATCTGCCACCGTGAGCTGGGTAGTTTTCCAGTCCCGAACGGCTTTTCTGATGTGACGGCTGGGCCTATGAACAAACACAATTATTTGGCATCATATAGTAAAGGCTGTAGATATTCAGATATGTGTGAGGGATTCATGCGTTTTAGATCTTTAGACATTATTTACCTATTAACTTAGTGTGTGTGTGTGAGTGTGTGAGTGTGTATATGTGAGTGTGCATGTCTGTGAAAACTAAAGGACACCTTGTAGGGAAGTTGGTTTTCTCTTTTCATTGTGTGAAACAGGGATCAGACACAGGTCATCAGGCTTTGTGGCAAGGGCCTTTACCCACACACTGAGTCATTTGGCTGCTTCTCTTGTTTTGTTTTTCCTTCTTGAGACAGGGTTTCACTATATACCCTTGACTGACCTGGAACTCGCTCTATAGACCAGGCTGTCTTTGAACTCACAGATCTGCCTGCCTCTGCTTCCCAAGTGCTGGCATTAAAGACATGCAGTACCATGCACAGCCTGGTCCACATTTTAAGTATATGTTTAACTTTGTAGGTCATGCTAGTGAGACTTTGGGTACACTGTAGGGCACCTAATTTTTTTTATTAATATGGGCATTTTAAAAAAACATGTCATCAATCTTTTGTGAATTTTTGTTTATAAAGATTACCACCAAAATGTGTCTAGTTCCACTTTTCTGTCAAATCTGTGGACAGTCTTGGGGAACAGTGTTAATGCTTCATTTTATAAGCTTGATGATCCCCAGTCTCTTTGGTGTGTTTGTGTGTGTGTGCACATGTATACACGTGTGTGATTACGCATGAGCAGTGAGTGCCATGTGTGAGGGGGCCAGAGGAAAACCTCAAGTGCAATTCCTCAGGCTCCATCATCTTGTCTGTCTGAGGCAGGCTCTCTCACTGACCTGGATCTCACTGAGTAGCTGGCTGGCAGTGAGCCCCAGGGAACCTTCCTGTTTGGTTTCTAGTTCTGGGGTTACAAGCTTACAGCACCAAGCCAGTCTTTTCACATGGGTTCTGGGACTTGAACTCAGGTCCACATGCTTGCAGTTCAGCTACTTACCAAATGGGCCATCTCTCCAGCCCTTGCGATTGCATTTTAGCCTTTGCTGAGCTCACCAACATCACTCCTCAACCTTGGTGTTGGGAAATGCTACTAAGATCAC